AAGTAAGGTATCTTACAGCTCTGTGTCATCTCTTTCTTAGGCTCTTTACGTCTTTAGCAAGTGATGATCCCATCGATATTGGTTTTGGCGGAGATACAAATCGCATACCAGGAGACAGCAATGCGGAGCTCATGGAAGAGAGTATGAAACATTCTATTTATCTATCTGAATACCACTGAGAACTATTAGAATCACAACCCGTGTACATGGAATTCCACTACCATCAACGCACAGGGCTCCCTCCCAAAAGAATGCGCTTGGAAGACCTTGTGCTCCAAAATCCTCTGAATGTTCCAAATGCGCGTCCTTGGGCACCATTTCCAACACTCGTCGATTTTGAATTTACTGAACAGTTGATAACTGATGGGCGCTCGAAGGCGAGCATTTCCCGGCTCTTGAGGGATATGCATAATGGCAAATTTGCTGAAGCTTGCAAGATTAGCTTCAAGAATGGCAAACAGTTATTCTCATGTCTTGACGAAGTAGCCAATGTGTATGAAAAGGTATGGACCATCCCCTCTCATACGCTCTACTGATCAATGACAGTTCAAGCGCGAAACTTTCGAGTTTTCATTTAGGAGATCTAATGTGACAAGCATCCAGCTCAAGTATAGCGTCTGGGTCAAGGATGGAATGGCTTGGATGCGAGAGCTGTTCCGTGACCCAGCGTTGAAGGAGCAATGGACCTGATTCGGACACAAGAAGTACCTACACATTCCAGGAAAGCAGCCAGAGCATGTGATCGACGAGCCATTGAGTGGGGATGCTGCTTGGGAAATCGAGGTCTGTGACCACATACCTTTTGTTTCATCTGACACTTTCATCGCAGGGACAACTGGACCAAGGAACACAACAGGTCCAAGTACCTCTCATCTTGTACTCAGACAAGTCTGACGTTGCGCGGTTTGCATCCCTCTCAGTCTGGCCGGTTCTGACACGACTTGCCAGTCTCCCCAAACATCTCAGTAACAAAAACAGTGCCTGTGCTGCTCATTTAATGCACCC